GCGCAGCGCCGTCGGCTGCCACCGCTGGGGCCCCGGCTGCTGGGTCCCCAACTTTAGCGGCACCGACGCGTCGCCGGCCGTGAGCCCGCGGGGCGCCACGGTCGTCGTGGGCTCCTACGACGGCACGGTCTACGCCCTCGACGGCGCCGACGGCAGCGTCCGTTGGAACGCGAGCCTCGACATGGGCGTCGGCGAGGGCACGCCGGCGCTCGTCGGCCGCGGCTGCTACGTCGTCTGCGGGCTGTTCGACGTGCGGTGCCTCGACGGCGACAGCGGCGCGGCGACCTGGACCTTCGCGCCCGGCGGCCAGATCGGCGCCTGCGGCGGCTACGACGGCGCGCGCGTCTTCGTCGGCACGCTGCGGAAGGAGCTGGTCGCGATCGACGCCGCGGACGGGGCGGAGCTGTGGCGCTACGAGGGCCAGGGCGAGGTCTGGGCGACGCACGGCCCGCGCGTCGTCGGGGACCTGGTCTGCGCCGGCTTCGGCGGCGCGGCCTACGTCAAGGCGAACTGCTCCGCGACCGTCGACTGTGTGAACCGAAGCACGGGCGCGTTGGCGTGGCGCGCGCCCGCGGGCCTCCAGGTCCAGTCGACGCCCGCCGTCGGCGCCTCCCAGCTCTACGTCGGCTCCTACGACGATTGCCTCTACGCCTACGCGCTCGCCGGCGGCGCTTCGCGGTGGCGGACGTGCACGGCCGGGCGCCTCGAGGCGAGCGCGCTCGTCGTGGAGCGGCACGGCGCCGAGGTCGTCGTCGTCGGCTCGGGCGACGGCCACGTCTACGCCTTCTCCGCCGCGGGGGACGTGCTGTGGCGGACGCGGCTCGGGAACGCCGTGTCTTTGCTGCGGCAGGGCGGCGTGGGGTCGTCCGCGGCGCTCCGCGGCGACACGCTCTACGTCGGCGGGCCCGACGCCTTCTTCGCGCTGGACGCGGACAGCGGCGCGGAGCGCTGGCGGCACACGACGGGCGCGATGGTCGGGAGTTCGCCCGCGGTCTTCGGGACCCGCGTCTACGTCGGCTGCGAGGACGGCTACCTCTACGCCTTCGACGTGGAAGACGACCCGTGATTGCCCCCCTGTAAGAGTCGCGGCGCGGCTGCTTAGGTCTTCCTCGCGCGGCGCGGCGCCTCACGGGAGGCACTTGTCGTTCTGCGACTTGCCGACTTTTTGGGCGCGCGGGCCGCCCTGGGCCCGGCCCTTGGCGCCGGCCTTCTTCTTGCCGCCGCCCTTGGCGCGCGCCTCCGCCGCCGCCGCGCGCTGCGCGTCGCTGAGCGGCCGCGCGCCCTTGCCCCGCTTGCCGCCGCGAGCGCGCGCCGCGAGCGCGTCGCGCACGGCGGCGACGTTGGCGACGGACTTGAGCGGCGCCGGCGCGTCGTCGACGACGAGGTCCGCGCACCGCGACGCGATCTCCATTGCCTCGAGGAGCTCGAGGTCCGCGAGGAGCTCGTTCTGGGCGTCGACCTCGTCGAGCTCGTTCGTCTCCGGAGCGACGATCGTCTGCGGCACGAAGGCCGACGCCGTGGCGCTGAGGCCGAGCATGGTAGCGTGTATCGGTGGCGTGTCGTGCGCGGCGGAGGCGCGCTCGGGTGT